TAGGGGGGGGGGGGGGGCGGCGATAGAGGATGTGTAGCGTATCCTGCCTAGACCTTCTGGAGGAAAAGTGGGGTATAATTTTGAAAATTTGTCATACGTAATTTTATTAGCCACCAGGTCTTTGGAAGCTGGTAGTATATAAGTAGTACCAATAAATAAACAATTCAATGATACATCAGAATATGAAATATTGTAGACATTTCTGGCTACCACATTTCATAAAGGATATAATAAAGCTGGAAAAAGTGCAGAAGAGGGCAACCAAAAATTCCTTTGTTGTAGGAAAAAGCTATGATGTTTTGGACTATCTTGTTTTGAAGCAAGGTAATTTGAGGTGAGGACATGATTGAGGAATATGATAAAGAAGATGTCTGTCTGTCTCATTTAGATGGGCAGAAAATGGGGGAAACCGTATCGTTTAAAACAGGTATTGTGATTGAGTGAGGACATGTTCAAGGTGTATTCTATCCTGCATAGCATGGTGGAAATAAATGGGAGAATTTTTTCTCCCTCTCTCAAAACAGGAGTTCAGGCATCATCCAGTGAAGCTGACTGGATGAAGATTTAGAACAGACAAAAGGAAGCATTTCTTCCCATAGTGTATAATTAACTTGTGAAATTCATTACCACAAGACATAGCAATGACCACTAACTTGGATGGCTTTAGAAAGGGATTGGATGACAGGTCTATTAAGAGCTATTCATCCTGAAAATTTAACATTACCTCTACGTTAGGGGCAGCATGCATCTAAATATCAGTTAAAGCAGAACACTGGTGGAAGTATAATGTCTTCCTGTCCTGCTTGTGAGCACACCAGAGGCATTTGGTTGGCCACTGAGAAGTAAAATTCTTAATCAGTCAGGCCTATTTTTATGCACTTATACTACAGTATATCATCTGGAAATTGTTAAGGCTTAAAGAACTACACCTTTAGTTTCAGGCTGTGGCTGTGGCATTCTGATTGTAAATGAAGTTTGGAGCTTCTCATGCTCTGGTTCTGAATACGAAGTTGCAATTAGGATTAGGGCTAGGTTGAAGTCTGTTCAGGGGATCTAGTGGTAGGAGTCATCCCCATTACCAGACTCAAGTGTGAAAGAGTCAGGAACAGGTAGTGGGCAATATTTCTAGTCCTTTCCCAGTTACACAAGATTGGTACTCACAAAATCTAAAGTGGTACATGTAGTTTCCTCAAGTGTGTAATGATATATACATGTATGGCTCCTCCCTTGTGACCCCCAAGATATAGATACATATTCTTTGGGGCAGAGGGCTACGATAAAATAATTGCCCCTTTGTGTACACATTGCTGCATAGCTCATATTTGGATAGGGGGCGACAAACTGAAGTTGAATCTAGATAAGAGAGAGGTGCTGTGTGTAAGTGGTTTTCAGGACTGGAAACTAAGAAGATGGCATTTATTTATTAAATTAGTATGCCACCCAACTCCCAATGATGGGGCGGCTCACAAGTAAAAAACATTTTTAAAAATGCAGTAAGAAACAAAACTAAGGAATAAAAGATAACAAGATGACAGAAACTGGACCGGAACAGAAATACACCCACACAATCCGTGGGGCATCACTTGCCCTCGCTAAAGGCCTAGGTGAAGAGCCAGGTCTTTCTTCAAGCCCCTTTAAAGCACCAGTAGAGTGGGGGCCATCTAGATTTCAGGGGGAACCTCATTCCAGAGGGCAGGTGCTGCTACAGAGAAAGTGTGCTTCCGAGGTCCTGATAGATGGCATTCTTTAATCAAAGGGACCTGGAGTGCACCAACTCTGCCAGATCAAATCAACCAGGCATATACTATGGGAAGCAGGTGGTCCCTCAAGTAACCAGGTCCTATGCCATGAAGGGCTTTATAGGTAACAATTAGCAGCTTGAATTGCACCTGGAAGCAGACTGGCAACCAGTGCAGCTTGCGAAGCAGAGATGTTACATGGACATACTGAGGCATGCCCATCCCTGCCCACGCCACTGCATTCTGAACCAGATGAAGCTTCCAGGTGGTCTTCAAGGGCAGCTCCGTGTAGAGTGTATTACAGTAGTCAAGCCGTGAGGTGACCAGGGCATGAGTGACTTTCTGAAGGGCCTCCTGATCAAGGAAAGGGCACTACTTATGTTTTGTAGTAGAAAACAAAGTCTGTAGTAATAAGCCCTAAAATATAATTAACATGGTTTTAAAACAAAGAAAAAGAACCGATTTTTGCAGAGCCTCCTCTCTCAATAATTCTGACTCCCCATCCAACCCGCTGCAACCGCTGCATGTACAAAGAATGTTTAGGGTGGCCCCTGTCCATTGAAGTGCTTCCCATGCTTGCCTAAATGGTGGGTGATGGAGGCCAACCCTCCCTTACATGCATAAGCAGTAAGTTTACAGAACTATCCCTCCCAACCCATTTTTTGTTTTTGCCATTCAAAAAATCACTCAAGCAGGCAAATCAAGCTCTGTTTTAGGTGGTATACCTGCTTGCATGTAATTGCATCATTTCAGCACTTCGAAGGATAACATTGTCTACCTGAGGGGGCTGCCCAACCTGCAAGTGCTGTATATTCTGAAAGAAAGAAAGAAATGGCTTGCTATTGAACAGACAGAATTGTAATCTGTTTCCTAGTGATGTTGTTCTCCAGTGCATGTTTCTTCTTCTTTTTTTAGAGCAGACAAGATTACTTTTGAAAACACAGCACCTCGTGAAGTAAATAACATTGCAAACCATCGAGAGCTAATTAAACCAGAGACTCAGAATAATCAGCGGAACAGAGAAGTAAGCAAAATGGAAGACAAGAAGGCTTTAGAAGCAGAAAAATACGGATTTCAGAAAGTTGGACGGGATAGACCCTTGACAAAAATCAACAGTGTAAAACTGAATTCCTTGGGGTCAGAGTATGGGACTTTGCCAGCAAGCACGATCCCATCAGGACACTACAGGCCAGTTCATTTAAATGGGTCAGAGAAAGCTGTGAACCTGATTCTAGGAGATTCTGGTGATGGAATCCATCACAACGCCATGCACTCACATATAGAATCTGAACGTGTCATCCAGAGAACTAATTCAATGTTACAGTTGGAGCAGTGGATTAAAATACAGAGAGGAAAAGGACAAGATGAAGAAACAAGAGGGTGAGTAATTTCAGAATTCTGGAATATTTTAGTCTTAATGTATATTATGATTCAGTTTTTGTTATGTGAAATATTAATTTTAGTTTGGAAAGATTCTTGAACGTGTTCCACAGTTCTTTGATTATTTAGATGTAGTATTTCAAACAGGCCTTGAGATGCTAGCTAAAACTATATTTTTTTAAAAGTTAACTTATAACACTCCTTATCCCAAATGTCTGTGACTAGAAATAACTATTATTCATGACGTGATGGATATCTTAGCTAGAAAGACCATTCCCTATTTATAGTTTGTTCAGCCTAACTTCCTAGGTTATCTTGCTTTTTTTAAGAGGTTAGAGACCTGATAACCTAGCCTCCATAATTAGTTATTAATTCCATTTTTCTAGCAATTGCTAGGTCACTAGTTCTCCATGAAAGGTTTCCTAATATTACTGATTTAAATTAAAATTCCCTTCAAGAAGATCATGTGCTTCCATTTATTTATTTATTTATTTATTTAATACATTTTACATGGCTGCCTGTTTCATATACATGACTTTGGGCAGCTAACAATTAAAACAAAATAAAAACTGATTAAAAATACAACCAGTAATTAAAAACAAATAACATAACACAGCATAAAATAGTTACCAAGAACAGTAGCAACATCTCAATATAAGCAAGAAGTAGGCTCACCCACACTATCAGGGCCCCAGTTTTGATGGCAAAGACAAGTTTTTAATGCCTTGCAAAAAACCAGCAAGGTTGGGGCAAGTCTGATCTTGGAGGTGGGGGGAATGATGTTCCAAAGGGTGAGCACCATGCAGAAAAGGCCCTCCTCCTGGGTCCCGCCAGATGGCGTACTCTCGCAGACAAAACATGGAACATGCTTCTCCTGCCAGATTTAACAGGATGGGGAGACACTGCTGGAGAGACACAGTCCCATAAGTAACCTGGCCCCAAGCCATGAAGGGCTTTAAAGGTAACCACCAACACCTTGAATTAGTTTATGTTAACTATATAGTTTTGTGGCAAACAATGAAAGGTGCAATTATTTGTCTAAACCAGTGTTGTCCAAACTTGGCCACTTTAAGATGAGTGGACTTCAACTCCAATGCTGGCTGGGGAATTCTGGGAGTTGAAATCCAATCATCTTAAAGTGGGCAAGGTTGGGCAAAACCGGTCTAAACCATAAAAAGAGTTTCTTTGGGGTTTGTGACAGAAAATGCTAGTATTAGCATACCTTTGAAGCATATTTGGGGCATGAGTCTAATGCAACAGAATATTTCTGAATTATTTTCAGTATTTATATACTGTGCAAGACATTTTAATGTGGTAACAGTAGCAGCTTTAATATAAATCTGTTACTGGCT